TATTCTTTCAGATTTTTCAAAGCTTAATTTTTCTTTTAGTTTCAAGAAATATTCTGAAAGTTGGATTACCCTTAACTCTAGTTCTRATGGAACAGAGATGGTTTCATTTGAATAAGACTCACATACCTGGTCATCAGAGTTGGAGGAGGATTCTGCATTGGACGGGCCATTAGACAGATGAGTGTTTTATCTTCATCGTCTGATGAAGAGTCGGACACCCAGTTTTCTTTTTCGGCCATCAAGCTTCGCTCTCTTGAATTATACTTGTATTTATTCTTATAGTAGTCAGCATCCTTGATCAATCGTTCTTTGCATTCCTCGGAAAAATGACCAAGTTTTCCGCATCTGAAGCATCGGAGATCATTTTTCCTTGCTTCCTTGTCCTCTCTCCTGTCCTCTTTTCTTTCTTCTCTTCTTTCTTCTCTTCTCTCTTCTCGTTCTTCTCTTCCATCTCTTCTATCGTCCCTTTGATAAAATTTGGATGACTTTCTATCATAGGATGACTGGTACCTTTCCCTTCTTAACTCTTTTCGCTCGTAGGGTTTTCTGGTGAACTTCTTTTGGAACAGTTTTGTGATCGAGGCCAAAGATTTGGAGAAAGCTTTAATTTCATCATCTGATTCAGAAGTTTCCTCTTCAGATTCTGATTCTACCACCAATGCTTTCTTGCTCTTCTTCTTATGTTCTTTGGHKRRAGTCCTTGATTTTTCTTTTTCATCGGCAGCAAGAGCAAGGGGTCCACCAATGGATACCTTTTTCTTCATAATGTCGCTCTCTTGTGCTGCAAATGTTCCATATAGGTCATAAAGAGACCAACCATCTAGGTCCTAGTTTGCTTGTTGGGACATAGATAGTTGAGTCCATTCATCGCCTAGACTCTTTAGGAATAAAACGTTGTTTTCTTCCTTTGTTCTGATGATATCTTTTCTACGACATTGATTTATCAATGTGTTGAAGTGATCATAAGTCTTTTGTATTGGTTCATCAGGGAGGGCTTTGAAATTTGTGTATTCGTTGAGGCATTGCGCTCTACGATTTTTCTTTGTTTTTGCTCCTCCTTCCAGTTGGCTTGCCAGTTCATCCCAAAGTTCCTTCGCAATGGAGCATGTATCGAGGGATTGAAAGATTTCATTGGGTAGCGCCATGATTATCAATCTCTTGGCTTTTTTGTTTGTTTCGACTATTTCTTTATCATCTTCATCCTAATTTCTTTCATCTTTCGGCATGTAGTATGCTGGAATTTCAGCTGTGGTATTTGTTCCTGGAACTCTTGGAACTAGAGTTTGAGGAATGTAGGGACCCTCCTGTATGGATCGCAGGAGATTCCTATCCATTCCCTCTAGAAAATTTACCATTCTGATCTTCCATTGAGGATATTCCTCTCATTGAAGAATTGGAGGCTTTGTGAGGGAGCCAACATTGTATGCGGAGTTCCAGTTGGCCATTGAAAATTTTGGAGAAGAAGAAAGAATTTTTAACGAGGAAGAAGATCAATAATTTGAGAGATTTTTGAATGATCGTTTTGATTGGATAATCAATCAATAGGCTCTGATACCAATTGTTGATCCCAGATCTCTCAATAACACTAATAATCTAGTTATGAATAACCAAATTATAGTGATTTAATGAAGAAAGTTATGAAGTCTCAAGAATAAAATAARAATATTTAAGAACAACTTTGAGCTTCAGAGGTTTTACTTTATAAATTCAGAAACGTAAAACAACGAGCAAAAGCCTTATTTTTACAATAGGTCTGAGTACCTATTTATACTAATAAGCTAACAATACGATAACTATCTAATGCTACTTTCTAGCAAATCGTCTATCTAACAGATAGGGTTTATCTTTCTCATGGATAAACATTAACATTAAGATAAACTCGAATTCCAGCTGTTGATTTGTCATCTCCAGCTGTCATTCATGGTATGATGATTTAATCCTTATCTTCAAATCTTCATTGCATGCTTGGATGCAGTGCTGGAAAATCTTCTAAGTGTTGATGACTAGAGGATCGATGAGGATGCTCTTTCCATCGCATCCTTGGACTGTCCATTGGTCCTCTGGTTGAACTATCCATCGATCCTCTGGTTGAATTCCAGATTTAGTCGATTCTGCCTTGATGTCTTCATTGGTCTTCTGGTTCTTCATCACATGTTATTTTTCATTACTTTTTACATCATGAGTTATGGGGTTTAACATCCCAGATGCGTATATATTTGACATATCATTGGGTAATCTATTTCTCTTTTGGTTGGGACGTATTTCGTTGGGCAATATTATCAGGTGCTTCAGACGCAGCCTGATTTCGTTCACCAATTTTACAGTGATAGGAGCACGTTAGTGGTAATATTTTGTTTCCCCTTTGTAGTCTGTACTTAAGCTCTCATTACTGGGTGTGACTGCAACTCTAAACTCTCCATAGCTCTATTCCTATGTTTATGTATGTCTCCTCATCAAGATGGTTTTGCTTGATTTTAGAATTCATTTTGCTGTTATTTGGTTATCTACTCTCATCCCTAATTAAGGATGCTTTGATGTTTTGTGTTTCAATGTTTATGTATTTTCCAACTTCTAATTTACTGTTTGTCTCTATCCAGTAACTCAAAGAAATCACGTCCAAATTAGATGACTTATTTGCTTTTTGATCTTTGGTAGAGATTGTAGTTGATAAATTCCATAATAGTATACAAAGCCAACATTTTAGGTCTGAAGTAGGAACCTTCATCAGGCTTTGGGTCAAAGGAGAAATATCTGCTTGAACTACCCCTTTCTTCAGTTCTTCCACAATAGATTCCAACACTACTCCACAAGCTCAAATTCAAACAGATTCCAATACAATGAGCAAAGAATTCAAGGTTTACAAACGAATAAAAGTTGAGAACATATAGACCAATATGCAAGGAAAGGACTGCTCAAAAGCTGCTCTGGTCCTAAAAGTTGCTCTGATCCCAGCCCCGTTTATGTCCAGTCCCTGCTATATTAAGATTTGTAGTTCATAGAATACAGATGTGCTAAAAAATAATCGATTGGTTTCTTTATGTTTAAATGGTTTCCAAATCAGATTACCCAAGCCAAGTATTCATTACATTTCTTGTTGTTGTTCATTTCTATATTTGCTAATTTGAATATGTTTTTTGTGTGATGAAGATCTGCTGATGAGATTTTAACTTCCTTTCTCTTCTCTTTGGTTTAACCGATTGACGAAACCAAGACTATGTACATCTTGTGAAGCATTTGACAACTTGTGGATTTAGCTCTAAACTTAGAGGTAAAAATCTTCTCTGTAATTTTGAAATCCCATGCTATTACAACACCTCTTTTACATACATTACGCTTGTAGCTATTATGATTTYTGAGCAAATTAAAGTAGAGGRAAYGTATATAAGCATTCCTAAAAGGGTTAGTTTGTTCTTTGAAAGGAAAATCATGAAAGAATGAACCTCTATATATGAAATAATGTTAGAGGATATTGATTATAGTGAAACTATTCTCATTCCAGGTACATTATTCCGCATCAGGAAAAAAACTCAAGTTTAATGTCTCTTTTTTTCATAGTAGAATATATTTGATATGTATGTTTAGCAGTATGCGATTGTATGCCATTGAGGCACAGCAACATCAAACACATCAGTAGCAACGCCCTGGAGTCTATTTTACATTGTCAATTTGTCATTGTGTAAGGGCAGTAAAGCTGTAAGCAGCTAGAATGTGACAAACTGACAATTAAGGTGAGCATTAGTCATTCTCATTAGTGTGTAAAATGCCCATGAGAAGGCTTTAAGCATTAATGGTTCAAAATGCCCATGAGAAGGCTTTAAGCATTAGTGTCATTGTGTGTAAAATCCCCAGCAAGTAGTAAGGCCAATAGCAAGTAAGGCAGTAAGGCTGTAAGAAGAATGTGACAAGGTCTATTAAGGTGAGCATTAGTGTAATAGTGTGTAAAATGCCCATGAGAAGGCTTTAAGCATTAATGTGTAAAATGCCTATTTACAAGGTTTATCATTGTGTAAGGCTGTAAGCAAGCAGCAAGTCTGGGTGTAATTTCATAATCAATTATCATCAAAGATTCAGTTCTTATATCTAGGTTTATTTCAATATTTAATACCCATTAAATATTTTTATGGCACCACAATTTTCTATTTTGGGATTTTATGTGTTGCTATGTTTCTTAAACAGTTTAAGGGACTGTTTGTTTGCTGGTATTTAGTTTGATAAAATATACATTTACTCCATCTTTATGCACACACGTTTACTTGTCTCTTTCTTTTCTTTGCATTTACCAAGTTGAGCTCTTGTTATCAAACAATACATCGATTGAAGGTAATTATCTTTCATTTACGACTCTTACCAAGGTAATTATCTTTCCAACTATTGTTGTGTTCACAGTGTGTTTGTGCCAAAGCATACATACCCCTGTGCCTTGGCAACAACAGGTACAAGAAAGTAAGTTATCACATTCTAATTGTTTAGCATTACAGCAGTAGCAGCAGCCTACTGCGAATCAATACTTCAAATGAGCTATTTGGTACTGCATTTTGTCTGTGTGTGTGTTTGTCCTGTTGTTTTGTTTCAACATAATGTTGGTCATGCTGACTGCTATAATATGTAAAGTTATGTGTGTATATATGGCATATACATACATATGTAAGCTGGTCTTAAAGACCATCTGAACATCATTTCACCATTCACGTATACTAGAATCAGGTTAAATCATGTATTGTTAAATCATGCATCGATATCCACGTTCGATTTCTCCATCGCTCTTCATCCCTGCTCGAGTTTTCTCCATCTTAGCTTAAGTTCTCTATAATCAACTTTCTTGTGTAATTTTAATGCATCTCCTACCTTTACATGTTGTGCTTTTTCTCTCTAGGTACTAGGTGACATTCTACAGTTAAGGTTAAGCCTTTTGGTTTAGATTTGTTCCAAAATGGAGATTGTCTTTATGTTCATTTTGATCATTACTTTTATGTTCATTTTGAATCTACAGTTAAGGTTAAGCCCTTTGGAATCTCTCTTCTCTTGGCAAGGTGGCCCGATCATTATGCTGCAGGTTGTCTTTATGTTCATTTTGATCATTACTTTTAGCTAGATGGTATCAGTTGTGTTAGAATTGTCGATGCTTACTCTCTTTACTTTTGATAAAAAAAAAATTAATTGGATTTTCTTGACTGGAGCTGTCGTATCAGATTGAAAATGAGTATGGGAATATTGAAAACTCTTATGGACAAAAAGGGAAAGACTATATGAAATGGGCTGCAAATATGGCTGTTGGACTAGGACCTAGCTCCCATGGGTAATGTGCAGGCAAATGATGCTCTAGAAAACCTTGTATCTTCCTACTCTGTTGACTTACATTCACTAGATGCCATTTGGAAAACTTGTGTTGACAGCAACCTAATTTAAGAGTCTGATTTTGTTTGGATCACGGGTTTTTAATTATCGAAATGTGCAAAAAAGAATTATCAACTCATTATCTTGGTTTGGTTTTTAAATCCTCGGAGCCTTTTTCTGCAGATAGATGCTTGCAATGGATACTATTGTGATGGTTATACGCCCAACACCAAGAAGAAACCAATAAATAATCTGGATCGAAAATTGGGATGGATGGTATGCAAACCTTATCATATTCTTGTTTAGTTTCTCAAACTTTGAACATGTTATACGAATTAAACCTGGAGAAGCTTTATGGAGTATGCGGTTAGGTAATCTTTCTACAACTGTGATCTATGTTCCATCTTATCTGGATCACAAAAGAATTCAGTTATATTTGCATGTCATTTGAACTCGATTAAGTTCAGTTTTTTAAAAGGTACACATTGGTTTGATGTACTTTGTGAATGAGAAGAGAGCGATTAGCTGATTGCTCCTTGTGATGCCTCATCCTGAAGGCATCATATTGGCTTGATTACCATCCTGTTTCATAAAACACGTTGGAAAGTTACATGGTTATGTGGTATGTGAGCTTTATCTATAAGCTACAATCTTCTACTATTGGTGTGATATATTTGAGTGTCAAAATCTCTCATAATCATCCAAGTGCCTGATTTGACTTAGTAGCTTCCTATTCTAGCCAATGAATTCTATAGCAAGCTATCAGGTAAGCGTTTGGGAATAAGATACTCGACATTAGTTATGATATATATAATCTATAAGCATAACCTCTTAAACGTTTTGATTTATTTACTGAAATGACATGGTAATGGTTACTGATATCAAAGTCCAAGAAACTTTAGTTGTTTCATTTTCATTTGAGAAAGCTTTTAGCAACTCTTCTTTTTTCTTTCTCCCATTTCTCTTCTCTATAATTTGATTTTTAACACTCTTTTTTATGCCTTTAGGATTAAGAAAAGTCGTTGATATTATGAAGACAAAGAATCATGTATAAAGAGGTTGGTTCTATTCATTATGGGGTCGTTTACTTAACGCTTACCTAGTAAGGTCCAAGAAACATGGTGCAGAGATCTGTAGCAATAAGGCCTACATGCAACTCATCATGTTCAATACAAGAGGAAGAGGACGTGCATAGAGATGTATACGAAATGGTCTTTGATATGAAATTAGATCCAATTTGAGCACGATAACATCAAATAATTTTGCATTAATTTTGATTTATATATACCATGTGAAATTCAATTGCTTTTGTCTTTTGAGTTAAAAAAACAATGTATTTAAGGACATGAAACATAAATACAAAATTTATAGTTTTTGGATTTTAGAAATAAAGGTTGGTTATCTCTTACATTTTTATGTACTTGGATTGCTCGTAGATGCATGGTTCTGAGACGCAACAAAAATTATATTTTTTTTTTCAAATGCTTTAATTATTGATACACAAAAAATTGACATCTCGTTACATTGCACGGGTACACAACTAGTCTATATTTAATGTTTCAAAACTACCATTGGTTTCATACATTATTGACTTATTATTACCTAATATTGAATGTATGTCTTTTAAGCATTTTCCTATCTTTAAAACAAGAATACAATCTAAAGCTATAACCAACATGGGTTTTTTATTTCAAGATTGATGGCTCAAAAAAATGTTTTAACCCTAAAAGTTTAAAACGTAATGAAAAACATTAACCTGAGCTAAGATGGAAAACCAACTGATTTATATTGATTCACATAGAGTGTAACTCTGAATAGTCGACATTGGGGCCACAAATGATGTCAATCTATATATTAAAGGTATATGATATATGATTTTTTTTATGGTGGAAGGGATTGAGGATGTTATATAAAAATGATATGGTAGATAAGACTAATTTTAAAATGATTATTGATTGATTTTACATATAGGAATACTCTATTACAACGGTTTTATATAAATTAGTAGTATTTTTTGAATTCAATATTATTTATAATAATGAAAACGATATACTATTAAAGACACCTTTCGTATTTATCAAGAGTCCTTTTTTACATCTCATCCAAAACCTGTAAAATTTCAGAAAACCGAAATACAAATATATTCCAATAATAATGTTTAATTAAAAGCGGCTATATTTGAAAATATTAATTTATTTATATAAAAAAACAAAGTGGTAATCATTATCGAACATGGGTGCCACCTACATTTGCGCCTTAAATTCTCCAAACCCAACCACCATTTTGTTTACCAAAATACCATATAAATCTAAGATCATCATACCTTAAAACCCAATCCCACAATGATTTTTCCAAAATTAGCTCCTTTTATTATTTTCCTTTTCTTCATTTCTACCTCCATTAATGCCATCACAACTCCAAGAACTCGATCTCAACTCTACATCATCAAACAGTTTTTAACTCTTCAAAACAAGGCCCGTGCCACCCAACGACTGCCGCCATTGGTGTGGGATGCAGGCCTGGCACGCTATGCGGATATGTATGCTAGGCAAAGGCGGCAAGATTGCTTGTTGAAGCATTCGAATGGGCCTTATGGGGAGAATATATTTTGGGGGAGTGGCGACAGGTGGACTCCGGCTCAAGCAGCAACGGCGTGGGTGGCAGAACAACGATGGTATAACTATGGCTTGAATTCGTGTGGCGGAGGAAGGGAGTGTGGGCATTATACACAGATCGTTTGGAAAAAGACCAAGAGGATTGGGTGCGCTCGCGTGACATGTTTCGGGGGTAGGGGAGTTTTCATGACGTGTAACTATTTTCCTCCCGGAAATTATATCGGTGAGAAGCCTTACTGAGTTTTAACGATATTTTTGGCACAATTTGTACTAATAAAATATGCACATTTTCTTTTTCATGATTTTGGAAATATCCAAAATGGTTCATTTCCATTTTTATCTTATAAATAAATTGATGGGTATTTTTAGATCCACAAGCTTCAATAATTGAAGTGTAATTGAATTACAATTTTGTCCTTGTAGTTTATTAATAAATTTGATTTTCGTCTCTGTGGTTTAGAATTGCAATTTTCGTCTATATGATTTATAATTTATTGTTATTTTCACCACTAAACTAATTCTTACCTTTATATATAAAAATAACCAAAAAAAAATAAAGAATTGTAAACTACAAGGACCAAAACAACAACGAATTATAAATCATAATAATAAAAATAACGTTAAATTACAAACCATAAGAATGAAAACTGCAATTTCTAAACTACATAGACGAAATCATAATTTTTTTTGATTAACCTGGATATTCAATCCGTTATGCGAGTCGACTAATTTCAGGACGACCACCTGCTTTGCAGATAGCCCGGAGTCACCACATTTGAAAATCTGTGGCCACAATGGAATTTTTATTTCTCATTAGATTTGAACTTGGGACCTCCTAGTACTTTTGACCTTTGGAGTCAAGATCAAACCAATCAGACACCATCCTTATGGTTGAAATCATAAACTTTTAACAAAGCTTAGAAACGAAAACATAATTTACCCATTATTTAATTATGTTAAATGTTATCTTTTGGATTTAATAAAAAGTTCAAACATTATTACTTAGTTATTATAACAATAACGTTAAAAACAAATGTTTCATGATACATTTATATTTTGGAAGGAAAAATATAAAGTTATAACCGAAGGATCTTAGAGGTTTGGTTGGTTTTTTTTTTACTAAATCATATATAAATAAAGTTGACTACAAATTCATTTGTCTATAAATTGAAATATCTTGTTGTTTGTTTGTTTGTTTGTTCTGTTGATTAAACTATCTAAATATCATAAATGACTATTATAATTCTCATTGTATATTAAGCAATAATTAACATGACGGTTTGGTAAATGTGCGGAATGATTGATTCGGAATAATAAATAGGATCAAGAAGAGTAAGTTACACCTTTGGTCCCTGTTTTTGCCACTCATTATCAAGTTCCGTCATTATTTTGAGCTAATTATACTTTTGATCACCGTGGTTGCTATTTTATTACATTTTTGGTCGCTTTGACTAACTCTGTTAGAAAAGTTTGTTAACCTTAAGGACATTTTAGTCTTTTTATCATTTCTTTAATTTTATAAATAAATAAATATATTATTATTAATTTATTATATTTTATTACCCTTGTATTATATTATATTGTATTATATATACTTATAAACACATTATGAAGGCAAACAAGGACTCTCCTTTCCCCGACGACTTCCCTTTTACCGACGACTCCCCATCCTCTTGTCATTTACCAACGAATTTCCCACCCTCTCTCCTATTTCATAAGCAGGCGACAACCCAATCTTTCCCTCCGATCTTCTCCTATGAGCAAATCCTACTCCAAATCGAAGCCACAAACAAGAGGGTGGTGGATTTGCTTTTCTATGGTTATGGATCTATATCTTCGAGGTTGGAGTCTTCCGAGTTGTTTTGGAACACCAACAACTCTTCGGATTTACAAATTCTACATCAATATATCAATTTTTGACTTGGATTTGCATCCTAAACTTAAAAATGAACTGAACTAGATCTCGAATCATACCTCAGTTGACTATATGTTGCTGCTTGAAATCTCTATCTCGAATCCCCAAAGTTATTATTTTTGGAATTTGGAGGAAAATGATATGTATTTACATATGTGATTGAGACATTATAAATCGCCGCATATTTGGGCTTAAATCTTGCAATTGCTTGGGGTTTCCATACTCAACCTTTCTATTCATGAAGTTTCTGAAAATTATCCTTTTTGGGTCATTACAATTTACATACCATGGTGAAGGTACCTTCGATTATATTTCTTGGGTTTATGTTTTGGCCAGGGAAGATGATTCCGATGGGAGGTGCTAAGTCGGAGTTACAATGACGATGGTTGCCGGGGAGGGGCAAACCAGAAGGGCCGTTAGAGTTTTGCACCTGGGGATTAAGCTGTTCATATTAATATATAAAACTAAAATAAGAGAAAAGAATAAAAGTTCAAAATACACTTGAGTTAACTAATCTTTTAAATAGAAGTTTATGAGAGGGCCCAAAAATGTAATAAAATGGTAACCGTAGTGACCAAAATGTAATTATTTTTAAATAGGGATTAGACTTGATAGTGAGTGACAACTATATGTACCAAAAATGTAATTTACTCTAGTATCAATTTAAACAATTTTTAAATAAAAAAGAACTCCATCAAACACCATTATATGAATTCGATGACATTATCACAACAAAATTTAATAAGTACTTATAATTAAAATAGATGAAATCATAGTTTGGATACAAGTTCATTTGCAACAAAATTTATAAGTATTTATCAAACAAAATTATATGAATTTAATATATATTTCTTAAGTTTAAGCATTAGATACAAATCAAGCTGCAATTTGATCATACAAAGTAGTCATATAATTGCGTGTTTTAGCACCTTACTGTACTCCACTTCCAACTTCTTCTTCATTGATAAACATAATGTCCTCGTTGCACCTCATAAATAGTTGATCTTGAATATTGCATGCATTTTCTTATGAAATTATGTATGGCAAAACAAACAATTAGCTCTTTGTTGTCTAACGGAAAAGGGACATTTGCTTTAGGATTGGAAATCTTGCTTTCAGTACATCATAAGCACGTTGAATTATGTTCCTTAGTTGCTCATGTTCATGATTGGATTGTTCCTCTTGAGTTAAAGCATGTCAGCATTGAAAATCTACTACCAAGTATCTTGTGTTACAATATGTAGCCAAAAATCCACGAGTGTTATAATATGTAGCCTCGCAAAGACAATATTTACCTATGATTGAGATGCAAACATGAAAACATTATTTCAAAGCAAAAAAGTCTCAAAATAATTAAAATGAGGTATGCCTTGCGGTGGAAAAGGAAAGCCATATATTAGGTTAAATGGGACTTCGTTTACTACTCCAAAATCATGCGTTATGCCTTCCCATCCAGCCCCAAAAAATGTGAACATCATATTGGAATCATCTAATTTATATGGCAAATTTTCCCAAAGTCTTAAAAACACCTTAACATGTATAAGGTACTACCCTTTAATGCAGAAAGTCTTAAAGTCTTAAAAATGTATAACTTATTTATGCATTTAGTACTACCCTTAAGCACACATATCCGGCTGGCCCTCTATCGCTTCCAAGTTCCAAACGACGCTCCTCTTTCCAACGCACCTCTGCCCAACGATCGGCTCTATTTATCGCGCTCTCTCCACGCTCCACGATTACAGAGATGACGATTCATTCCCCAAGACAACGATTCACGCGACTTAGAGTGTTTATAAATGATCAAGCACGATTCACGCTCCTGTCACGCGATTCTCAAATCAATCACGACACGATTCACGCTCCTGTCACGCGATTCTGTGGAGGTGAGTTAGTTTATTGCATTAAGTTAGGGTTTATTTTGTTACTCGATTTTGAGTTAGTTTAGGGTTTATTGGGTCATCTGATTGAGTTAAGTTAGGGTTTATTTTGTTACTTGATTTAGTTTGTGTGGAGTTTTTCAAGCGATTCAAGCGATTCTGTGGAGGTTTTCAAGCGATTCTTTGGAGGTTCTCAAAGGTGAGTTAAGCTAGGGTACTTGTTTTTCTTTAAATTCGTCATTTTATATGCTATCTTGAGAAGTGCTTGGCTATGTATAAGATGTAATATCATCACATCTCCCACAAAACCATAATTTAAAAGTGCTCCAGGGGAGCACCGGTAACATACTCCAAGATGAATCTGGACAATAAATGTTCTTTAGGAATTGAGTTATTGAATTCATTAGATAGCATAGGGGAAGTTGTGTGTGCAAATATAGGATTGATATGGAATGGTATACCCTTCAAGCCTTCTTAGTTCTTATTTAATCCTTCGATTTATGAATAGCAGAAGCAACATAAATCCTTCTTAGTTTTTAGGAATTTTCGGAACTACCTCAACTGGATTGATTAAAAACCAATAGATGTCCACACTACCAAAATCAGTATCATTAATAAGCAGCTTTATGAAAGTTGAATAATAGGTCAAATAATGGCATAGTTGAAATGAATTCCAGCAAAAAGAAGGGTCTAGATAATTTATTTTTTTTCTTAGATCAAGTTTTCAATTGTGGATTGGCCTTGACGATGGTTGAAGCCATGTATGTTATTGTTTGTGTAGGCAACAACTTTTGGTGGTTCTAACATTGATCCAAGAAGTGTAAAGGTGAATCTACGTTCCCTGCTCAAGTAAAACATGAATTATCTGACTGACTGCTTAGTTATTAGGGTGTTACTCAATTTTTCATTTTTTTGGGTTTTCCTAAACCTCTCTCTATGTATATATA